TTTGTGCAGTGAAAACAATTATTCAATTTCAATTATGAGAATTTCTACGTGTTCTTCTTCCGCCTCCTGGTGATCGGATAGACGGTGTCCGGCTCAAACTACGCTGTCAAGCGTCTGCTCGAGAACCATTATCGCGAACCCAAGAGACGCACGGGCAGAACTTTACCGCTTCTCCGGAAAACACCGGAGAACTTGTTCCCTGTCATCATGTTCTCCGCCGGATTTTGTGATGACGGTTTTTCTGAAATCACATTCTTCAGCGACAAGCCACCGATCTTTTCGAGGTGCTTCGAGTCCACGATCCTGACATACTTGCCCTCAATCTGCGCTGTTATCTGTCTGATCGATATGATTTCGGGAAGCCCCACGGTAGGCGAACGATCGGAAGCTTCGAAGTGCCGCCTCGGAACTATCATGGCCCAAGCTACAGCGCTCATCCATGTACTCGAGATATTTCTGGAACTGCAGGAGGGCAGCTCAAGTGCGTCATACGTTTCGTCTTTGGCCCTGAAATCAGTGAACTTGATCGCCGTCATCGTGGCTCGAGGGCAAGCTCTGAGGCATTCGAGGAAAATACGAATTTTCTGGATCGTCACCTTCCTCTGCGAGACTCCTGGTATGTACCACGAGATCCTCGACTGCTACACGGGAGTCCTGGAGAAAGACGGAGCCACCCGACTCTCATTACAGTCAGCAGCGTATATCCTGATATTGCTGCAGTGTCTACTCGAGATCTGCTCAGATCGTGAACCATCCGAGAATCCCAAAGAGAAACCCGAAAAAAGTGGAGTGCTGACCCATTTTGTGGGAGAACTTCTATTCATGCAGATGTCGAACTTAATCTATACCGGCAATCGGAGATCTCTTGGTGATAATGATCTCCCGGAACCGCTCCCGGATCTGGAATCAGAACGATGGTATGAAAAATGGGAAAAAACGCTGAACCGGGATGGAGCTCCCGGGGAGAAATGCAGCCTCCTAAAGTCACTTTGGACGACTTTCCGGGCCGACGTCATCAAGATCTGGATATGCGGGCTCATCTTCGCCACCTTAGCCCCGAGCCCGTTCTTGTGCCTGAATCAGATCATATTATTTTTCGACGAGCCCGACGCGCCCTCGTGGGTAGGCTACGCGTACGCTTTCGCAATATTCGCTTTGAACCTGACGTCGTTCGCGATTTCCCGCTCCAACGAGTCACGACTGGCAAGTATCGGTCTGAGATGCAAAGCCGTCCTGATCGCTGCGGTTATGCGGAAGTCTCTCGAGATGAATGCGACCCAGCTCGGCAAGTACACCAACGGGGAACTTGTCAATCTTCACTCAGTCGACTGCGACAAAGTGATTCAATTCACCAACATGATCGGCAGTGTGGTTGTTTCTCCTTTCTATATTGTCTACTGTACTGCACTCCTGTGGAGTTTCATCGGACCGTCGAGCTTCATTGGACTCGCCGTCCTACTCCTCACGATGCCTGCGTCGAGCTACGCAGCAGGACTCTATCGCAGGACCCAAGCCGCGCAGGCTCGTCTCAAAGATGGAGGGTTGAAAGTGATAAGCGAGTTGCTGTCCAGCATCAAAACCGTGAAGCTCCACGGCTGGGAACAGGCTTTCCATGCGAGAATCGACAAGCTGCGCCGACAGGAAAATAAGCTTCTGATGAAACTCGCTTTCCTGTCGGCCTTTCTTCGATTCTGTTGGGCACTCACGCCGATCTTGATGATCATAACCACCTTCATTTCTTATTTGTACTTGAACGACGTAGCAGCCGCCCCACCGAACGTCGTCTTCGTATCACTATTCCTGCTGACCAGCATGCGTCAGTCGCTCGCAATGATTCCGGATGTTACGGCCTGTGCCATGCAGACGCTGGTCTCCATCAAGCGAATCGAGAAATTCTTGGAGACCGAAAGTCTAGAAGTCAACACAGTTGGGAGCGAACCTCCGCTCGGAGCAGCAGTTTCCTGGTCGGCTGCCACCTTGACATGGAAGGCTACAGGAACGATGAACGAGGCGATATTGAGGAATATCAGTCTCACAGTGAAAACCGGGGAATTGATTGCGGTGATCGGCAGAGTCGGTTCGGGGAAGTCTTCCCTCTTGACGTCTCTGCTCACAGAACTCCAACTCTTAGAAGGCAAAGTCAACCTGCGAGGATCTGTGGCCTATGTTCCACAACAAGCTTGGATTCAAAACGCCTCAATCAAAAAAAACATCATCTTCACTCGAGCGTTTGACGAGACCGAATTCGCCACCGTTCTGAAAATATGCTGTCTCGTCGATGATTTGTCATCGCTTCCCGGGGGCGAAAACACCGAGATCGGGGAGCGGGGCATAAACTTGAGCGGCGGCCAGAAGCAGCGAGTTTCGTTGGCGCGCGCCGTATACCAAAATCGGGACATCTATTTACTGGACGACCCCCTGAGCGCGGTAGACGCGCACGTAGGCGCGTCAATTTTCAAGGACGTCATCGGAAACTCCGGCATTCTCAAACACAAAACAAGGATTCTCGTCACAAATCAGCTTTCTATTCTGAGCCGGGTAGATCGGATCATTCTTCTCGAGGAGGGTCGAATCGCCGAGCAGGGCAGCTATCAGGACTTGACGCGAGCCGGCACTGACTTCTCCCAGTTCCTGAAGGAGCACCATCGGGAGGAGGCTCCGCGAAGCAGCGAGATCCTGAGCGATCCTGTCCGCGACTTTCGAACGGAATCGGACATGCGAAACCACACCTTGGTCACCGAAGAATTGACCCAATCGGGCAGCATAAAGATCGAAGTATGCAGAAGATTCATTGCCAAAATGGGCTTCTGTCTATTCGTGTGGAGCTTCGCTGGGTACTTCCTGGCTCGCGCTTGCATGCTCTTGTCCGGTCTCTGGCTGAGTCGCTGGTCAGAGGACGATCCACGACCAACTGATGCAAACTACGTACGGAGAGAACATCGAATCGAGGTTTATGTCGGCTTGGTTCTGCTCTACACTTTGTGGCAATTTTCAGGTGCAGCCGCCATATCTCTTGGATGCGTCAAGATCGCGAGCGCTCTCCATCGGAAGATGTTATCGGCGCTGCTAAGGGCTCCGATGAGTTTTTTCGAAACGACCCCACTCGGTAGGATACTCAATCGATTTGGTAAAGATGTGGTGCAATTAGAGATGGAGCTCCCCGTGGTTTCGAATTTATTCTTAGAGATTTTCACCAATTTTATTTCGATTATAATTTTGTCGACGGCTGCCGTTCCGATATTCTTCGTTTTCATGCTGCCACTTGTTGCCATTCATTTCGTCATTCAGAGAACTTTCATGAGATCGGCTCGTCAGCTGAAGCGAATGGAGGCGGCGAGTCGATCTCCGGTCGCTAATCATTTCTTGGAAAGCTTGAATGGCGTAACTAGCATCAGGGCCTATGGAGTGTCTCGGGATTTCATCGAGATGTCTAACCGGGTCGTTGATTCTTGGAACAATCATAGCTATCTTCTCACTCTGGGTCGTTTGTGGCTCGGTGCTCGAATAGACATCATTTCGAGCTCGATCGTTGTTCTTTCAAACGTGCTGATAATGACACAGAGAGGGAATATCGAGGCCGGACTGGTGGGTTTTATCTGTTCTCTCTCCATCGGAATATCTTACTCGTTCAGTCGCGTCGCCCACTACGCAACGGAAATCGAATCCGGCATCATAGCGTCGGAAAGAATCGAAGAATACTGCGATGCCAAACCCGAAGCTCAGTGGGTCCTCGAGCAGAGGCCTCCACCTGGCTGGCCCGCACACGGAGCTGTGGAATTCGAGAATTTCTCCGCGAAATACCGAGAAGGTCTAGATCTGGTGCTCAGAGGAATAAGTTTGAAGATCCGCCCAGGCGAGAAAATCGGAGTAGTCGGTCGAACGGGAGCCGGCAAATCGTCGCTGACACTGTCGTTGTTCAGAATTATCGAAGCCGAGAGTGGGTCTCTTCGAATCGACGGGATCGATGTCTCTCAAATCGGCCTTCATGACCTGAGACGTCGACTTACGATCATTCCTCAGGACCCTCTGATTTTTTGTGGCAGTCTCCGCGGTAATCTGGATCCCAATCGAAAATACAACGATGAGAAACTTTGGCGTGCTCTTGAGAAATCTCACCTGAAGACATTTTTCGCTGACTCTCGCGGTCTGGACCAGGACATCAATGAGGGCGGATCTAATCTTTCGGCGGGACAGCGTCAGCTGATATGTCTAGCTAGAGCTATACTCCAGAGGAGCAAGATACTCGTAATGGATGAAGCAACTGCGACCGTTGATGAGGAGACGGACGCTTTGATTCAACGAACGATCCAATCGGTTTTCTCTGAATGTACCGTGATCACGATCGCGCATCGATTGAACACGATCTTGAAGTACGATCGGGTTATCGTCATGGACCGGGGAAGGATCTCAGAGGACGGGTCTCCTAGGGATTTACTGCGCAATCCACAGTCTCTCTTCCACGAAATGGCCAGAGAAGCGGGGCTTATCGATTGAGCTCAGCGCTGTGTAGGGGTTCTCCAAAGTCGACATAAGTAATAGGTATGCTGAGGCGAGGGTTCTGAGCGATTATACATACTTGTCAAACTCAATCATTCGGAATACCCATCATATCAACGCATCCGAGATCCCGGAGACGGGATCAGGCTTGAAACCGTCCATTTCCCAAAGAATCATGAGATGCTTCTGTACATCTACACTGGACTCTCCAGAAGCGAGTGAATAAACCTGACCCGATCGGAAGAGCATACAGCATCTAAAGCAGTTATTTCTATCTCTGGCTCTGGAGAAATCTGGCGACGCAAATCGGTCACACAACTCCAGGAATCACTCTAAATGAAGAATATGGCGAGATAAAAGAATCCGAATTGATGACGACCCTCCGGTCGCACATGCTCGTCGACTCGTTCGCCCATCACGTCTCCTCTTGTGAACATTGCGCGTCTGTCGGGGGATGATGGCTATGACATCACCATGAGACCGTGTTACAGGCGTTCAGTACACGTGTCGCGGAGGTGCAGGTGAAAGCTCAATCTCTCAATCTCGCAAGGAACCAGTACCGAACAATTTTTGTGTCAAGCCGGAGAGCATTTGAGATCCTCCAGCTCCTACGAGGAAGAAGATTCGCGAGTATATTCTTAGAGGCTCGAGCTAACATGGAAAATCAAGGAGGCCAAGAATCTGCCGAAGGCCAAGCAGGTGCAAAAAGTCCTACAAGTCCGGAAGTTCCCACAAGTCCGGAAGTTCCCACAAGTCCGGAAGTTCCCACAAGTCCGGAAGTTCCCACAAGTCCGGAAGTTGCTACAAGTCCGGGAGTTCCTGTAAGTCCGGAGGATCCGGCAGTTCCGGAGGGTCTAGCACTTCCGGAGGGTCCAGAACCCACGAAGGGTCCTGCACTTCCGGAGACTCCAGCAAGTCCGGAAGGTCCAGGACTCACAGAAGGCCCAGCACTTACCGGAGATCCTGCACCATCGGAAGCTCCAGCAACTACGGAAGGTACATCGCGCACGGAGGGCCAAGCGAACGCGGGAAGTCAAGTAGGCCCAGCAGTTCAAGCAGGCCCATCGATTCAAGCAGGGCCGTCAGTACAAGCAGGCCCGTCGGCTCGAGCAGGCCCTCCGGCACCCGTTAAGTCGAGCTCAATTAGTCAACAAACCACGGAAGCTATCGAGAGTGTGGAATTTCATACAAGTGTGGAAGTTCAACCAACTACAGGAAGTCAACCGGCTTCGTCGTCTCAACCGGGATGGTCATTCGATGCGACTGCGGACGCGACAACAGGAACGCTCGAATCGTGTGCACTTTGGCTTTACGCGCAAGTCCTCAACTCCGAGTTGTGTCGCCACCCACGGTCTGTCATTACCAGCACGCTTGGCATCGTGTCCATAGTTTTCATCCTGGTGGTTGGGGGTGTGCGTTGTTTCTTCATGTCAGGATACGGACCTGCCTGTATCATCGTAGCTCTGACTTTCATTCTTTTCTTCGTGCTAAGTGTGTCCATGCTGATAGCGGACTGTTATCGGAGGAGAATGGCTGATCGCGGTCATGTCTCATTCGCCTCGACCGAAGCAAATATCGACGATCGCGAGAGCCGGAACATTCAAGAAACCGCTTTCGGCGCCGAAGGAAGCTCAGGAAGAACAAGTCGTGTCGTGACCTGCTCCTGGCACAACAGCACGGCGACTAGCACGGGCACGGCAAGCTCCCTCTGGGCACGGAATAATAAAACGGATTCGGCCACTGACACTCCAGGACGCGACACGGAACCCATGGATACAGGATCAACTTAAGCGAGCATCGTCTTAAGCATTGCCCAGGGCAAGCACTGAATTACACTAAAAAAAAATTCGTGCGCGGCACCCGGCTTCATATGTAAACGTATTAATCGATTTCTGATTTCTGAATTTATATGATGGATTCATTTGTGAGTAAGACTAAAAATAAATGACGCTACCGATTCAATCGAGTAAAGCTGTTCGATCATTCTCATGGATCATGATCCCTGGCCGGAGGTCATTGTCTTCTAGGAATCGTCTATTTATAGTCGCTCATACTGACTCATAAGCATTGCCTCACATAGACAGTGAGCCGTCCTAAGGTGTCGCATCGACTTCCGCATCTTCGATTGGAAAACGATCTCATCAACTACAAGAATCCATGAATCATGCCGAGAACGAATGGAACAGACAAATAAATAGAGCCGCGATGAGCAGAGGTCGAGATCCATGACATCGGCGCGGTGGTCGTATCCGCTCGTGTACATGCTCGACTATCGAGCCAGCATTCGTAAACATTGCTCAAGGAAGATGGCTTCGCTGATAATTGTGAGGTCGCTCTGGGAACGTTCGCGTTTTGCATGAGAGCTGGTGCAAGAGCTACTACGATTCCACAGGGGAACCCACATCCAGTCGCTTCTAAGTTATTTCTCAAGACATTTGAGTGGAACCCTCCGAGTTCCGACGAGGAGAAGGAGATCTGCGCGTATGGACGGTTACGACCGGGCAGCTGCACCAGCCGGGGGTCATGGGCTCAGGAACTTCATGCAAGATTGATATAGGCGTTGGCATAAATTAATGTGGGTCGTAGTCAACTTCGCTCTCTTGAGCCTCATGCTCGCTTGGTCTATCGAGTATTTTCAAGGGAGAGCCGACCCTGTCATCTGCGTTTGCTCAATGCTATTCTTCTTCGTAACGGTAGCGACCGTCACTCTCAAGCTGCTCATTGAGCATATGAGATCGGACCCGGAAAACTACGACGGAGAGGAAATCCCATTGAGACCATTGTCAGTGCTCCACCCCCCTCGAGAGTCCCCGAACATGGAGGGAGTAGACCGACCCGCCCCTAATTTGAGACGGAGGGAACCGATTCAAACAAGAGGTAGAAGTCAGAGCGATTTCACACATGGAGCGGATGCTGGGGTATTCGTGTGATAAAATACGTCGGAGAGTCCTCGAAAGGCCCGCGAACCTTGACGACGTAGGAAGCTCAAGAGGTATCGGCTCAGTATTGATTCATGAATTTTTGATTTATTTGTGTATGTATTGGAGAGAATTTCTGGCTCCTCTCGATCGAGAATGAGGGTACCAGAGTAAATAAATGACGCTGAAGACTCGACGACGGGAAAATAAGGAAAATCCGCTGTTGATTAAGTTATCACAGGAGAGGGATCACCGAGGGTTCGAATTCGTAGCTTCCCTTGGGTTCTCATCTAAGGAGTCTAGAAGTCTTCACGAGGGACAAACGCGATTTCAGTGACCCTGACGATCTCCTCTTGTATCCATGGCGCAAGCAGCGCTAATCAAACAATCACAATCAGTGCTCTGGAAAAGGGGAAAGTAATCCGCTCTCGGTCGTGATCTCTCCGAGCGGTATCTCCACCGAAGTTCGAGACTGATGCTCACCGATACTTACAAAGGCACCTCGCAGCCTCCCCTCCGAGACGACTGGTTCACCTTTGGAGCCGAAATCGGTGAAATGAACTGAATGATCTGCCTATTCAAGCCGCGTCGGGATGAGTGACACGGCGCGGAATTCCTCAAGGAATCACTCTTAATCCGCACGTCATTTACATTGCAGGGCACCCCTCCGTGAGCCGACCCCTATTTTCCCTGGTCAGCCTGATGTCGAGTTCTTCGGATGCCATTGCGCAAGAGAGGCTCAGAAGTTCGGGAGCGTTCACGAATACAGCTAATTCTGCTGGATGTCATCTTCACGAGAAAAACAATTCCAGTTCAGCAGCCTGGAATAGTCAGAAACGAGCAGGAGATTAGAGAGAGCCGAGCCCAGTCGCGCTGCGTTTGCGGATGCCTCCATTCTAGCTGAATCATCAGGTTCCGATCCCTCGAGCGATGGTGTCAGACGAGGGAGCAACGAAAAGACTCGGAGTTCATATTTTCCTCTATGACGCTTTGTCTCAATATCGACGGAGCACAATCGGGTTTTCTGCTTGTGGTGATGGGATGATGCCCGCGAAGCCATGGTATTATACATTAATCATATGATTTACGCGTGAAAATAAACCAGCACAGCGAGGCGGACTTTCCCACCTACTGCTGTTGTCGTGACTGGGTCCATCGCGGGCTGTGAATATCCGGTAAGCTTGCCAGCCCGCCCCACTATTGGAACCAGGACCTCGACTAACGGATTCAGGTTCGAATAATCGGAGCCGGCTCGCCGATCATCATTGTGATCAGCCATCAGAGCAGTCGTTTCCGGTGCCGCTCGTAGTAATCCGCGGGAGATCACCGTGCGAAAATCACGCTGTGCTCCACCCGCCCCAGCAGACGAATCCTCCTTCGCTGACTCCCGATCGCTATAAGCCCCGAAGATACGGATCTAGATGCCCGTGAAGAAGAGCTCGTCGGCGAGAGATATTGGAAAGTAGCGAAAATTCGCGGTTTACATATGCTCGTTCTTCGCATGGTTCCTGATGATCCTTCTACTCGTCGAGCGGCTTCGTCTCGTGGAGCATGCTCGATATTTCGCTAGTGGCGACGACTTTGGTTTGTTGGCTCGGGCGCTTTCACATCGAGGCCCTCGCGCCAGACGCGGAACCTCGGATGCCGGTGGCTCTCATGAGGATGAACGACATGGCCTCTCATGACCCCGCGCGTCCAATCCTGAGCGGGGATGTCCGTGCGCGGGCTTCATGGGATCGACGACGATCTGAACCAGCGCGGTTCAAGGGCGGAACTGGCAGTCCACCACTCGGGGACGCCGCCGAGGACGTTTGAGGACTCGACCACAGGATGGATGACGAAGGCGCTCATTATTCTCCCTCGTCTAGTCTGGGATTCCGGATTGGGACCCTACGCGTAGGGAGCCCGCTATAAGTGCATCGAATCTACAGGTATCGAAACGGAACCCAAGCCGAGCGCTGGTCCGTTGTAATATTCTGAGACGAGATTGGGAACGGATTTCTGGCCATAAGGACAGATGCCGCAGTTTAGGCAAGGATCTGAGCTAGCCCTGGAGTTTCAAAAGTATCTCCGATCCAGATTCGGAACTCCCAAGTATTCTGGCAGCTGCCAAATCGCTTGAATGATTTTATGTACCGCAGGGTGGTCATCCTATTGTCCTCCGGATTATTCGACCTGTGCGTCGTCAATGACCTCTGTCATTCCGCTCCGGATTCCGTGTTGCGTGTTGATCATCATCGAGTCGCCCAATCGGGGCTCGACGGCGCGGTGCCGGCGCCTCGGGATATTCCTGATGTCCAGTCATCCCTCACAAAATGCGCCTGGCGACCGCACCTATCCGCTGGAAGCCGCGAACGAGCGTTTCTCGTTCGATCTCGATCAGAGTCTCACGAGGGAAACAAATGGTCATCTGCGAATGCTGAGCGCGACCCAGCAAACGCACGGAAGGCGTGCTGCTGACTGTACGAGCTGATGACTACGCAATTAGCAGCAGTATAAGGAACGCTCAAGGAGTTCCTCAGAAGTCGCTCACTCGAGACTTGCCTAACGACAACATCCGAGCTGCGCTGCGCCGTGAATCGTTCTCGAAACGATGTTGGTCGGCCTCTCAGGGAGAGCAGCTCGGAACGGAGAATTGAAAATTCAGGGAGGCATTGATGGTGGTCTCGAACAAGGAGGCGATACATGAAAGACCAAGCTCGAGGACTGCTTCTCCGAGACTGCGGAGGAATTGCTCTTCAACACCATTGGAATAGTGGACATCCAAGGAAATGAATCCTCTCGAACGAAGCTTCACCGACAATCAGAAAACGAATTCTTCAGTTCCTCTTTGGCGAGGGATCCGATTCCTTCGATACAGATGAGATTCTCCGAGGAGGCATTCGGAACTCTTGCCACTGAATCTGAGCGAGACCTCTAGCCGGAGAGTATGGTAATATACTATCGAGTATACCCTCCATGTTTTTTTTTCCCTCACGAGCTTGATCGACCGATATGATTTCATTTCGATCCTTCCATTCTCCCGGAGCTCCTCGACTGATTTGATGGGTGCTCAAGACTACGTAAGGTTGTGCCGTGACGGCTTCCATTCCCGATAGCGATATCATTGTTCCGTAACGAAGCCAGACGACTCCATGCTTTATCCTGCTTCACTGGATTCCGATAGCTGCGGCTAACGCTGAGAGCTGCTAGAAGAAGACTTCCATAGCTGCCCGAGGGATTGCTAATTTACCAGTTCCAGGTGGCGCTCAGATTCTCCTCGAGACATGTCGTGCGCCCCACGACTGAAGCCTGAGAGCAAGGAAGGGAAATCCAAACTTACTTTAAGAATTTCCCCGGAAAATCCTGACTCTTACGACCGAATTGCGGAGCGGATATCTCCGCATTCGAAGACTTCGATCGGAAAGCTTGAGCCACTGCTCGAATCCCAGAGATTTTTTGACTGTCCACATAACACTCGCCGAGCTTTTCGTGCATAACACAATATACTGAAGTCTGGTGGGAAGGTTCGAAGATTCTCCGCTCTATGGCCCAACAGCGGCGTATGATTGAATTGCGGAAGTTCGAATGGAATCGAAGTTCGGACTGAGGAGCTAAGGAAAGATATTTCAGCATGGCGATTCCATTCTCTGGCACTTCGGGATCCTGAGGGAGACGATCGCATCCACGGACAGTTTCAAGGCCCCGCAAGAATCTCGACCGGGTTCTGCTAGATCCCACAGATTGATGAGGACATGGGAGTAAAATAAGTCATTTATTTATTCCAAGAGAGCTAAAATGTACATCACGGAAAGTTTGCCACTCAGCCCGGATATATTAATGGCCAGCTAACTCGACAAAAATCTGCTCGTGGTGAAACGATTCGTGGTCGGCCTCCTCGCCGCGTCGAGCGCTCGAATCGTTTCGCTATCAATTCCATGTTTTCCGCTGGAATTTTCAGATCTGTCGGCTCCGTTCCGAAATTGGGATATATCATAGAAAGAATTTTCTCCCGAGCGATTCTCAGGTTGGGAAAACTATAGTTGCCATACACCAATGCCGATATTCTCTTTTTCCATGACTGGAAGCCACGCTCCTGGCTATCCCCGTCCCGTTGGATCGCAGATGCACGGCTCGATCGAACGGAAGGCTAGCTGAAGAGCGAATTTCCTGATCATCCAAGCGGTCTGTCACGTTCTCACTTCAGCTTGCATGAAACGGAAGTTGGTTCGCAGTCGGGATATTCTTTGAGATTGGGGTTTGAGAGATCTCCGTTGTTCGTAGAAGCCGATGGATTGTCGTGCGGAGCGCCTAGAAAAACGGATAATTCTGTTTATCACTGACATTCATCCTACAAGCCTCGGGCCCATGTATTCCATGTAGAAGGATTCCACTGGGCCGGAGATATCTCCAAATATGCGGAGGGCCAAATATCTCCGGGAGCACTCACCGGTCGTTCTGACACAGACGCATCTTTCCTGACTCATACCAGGGGGGTGGTGTCTTCGGGGAACGCCAGTCCACTTACGCTTGATGCCCCCGCTAAAAAGTGGACACGAAATCGAGAATGAAAGTAGTGTATCGCAGAAATATCCATCCGAGCTGATTCGGCATCGTTAGACTCAGCACCTAAGGAACACGACGAGCCAAATCGCCATTAGGTGATCAACGCTGCGCAAATAGGCAACGCGTACGAACCTCTCGTCGCTGCACCACACCTTATGACCCTCTTTCGGCGTGAACTCGGAGTTACACGGGGGGAAAACCTTCTTGAGTTCGTCATCTTTCAATTTCGATGCGAGCGCAGTCTTGAGGATACCTTCCACTCGACGGAGTTCTGCGGTTTTGGCACCGGTGCTAGTGTAATACCTGGAAGCAGAGTCCTCGTCGTGAAAATATTTTATATTTCATTGATACCTTGCTACGGAGAAACGGAAGAAATCGATAATAGTTTCTTCATACTAAGGATATCCGTGTAGAGTGTAGGTATCCGAGAATTGAGGAGGCAAGCTCGAGCTTGCTCGATACCTCCCCAATGTGTCCCGAATGTTTCTCCAGATTTGTGTATGGCTCACCTTCCCACGAGTTTCCCCATGTACGAGTATTCCTTCTGGTAGAATTCGATCCAGGTAGCGAGTCCCGCAACCATATCGTCGGAGACCCCGTCGAGATCGTCCGTCAAACCCTTTTCGGTGAAGTCACCCGTGATGTAAGCTCTTGTGGCGTCCTTGCCTGTAAGAGGATCATGTAGTGTCTGATAGAAGTCTGCCTCAAATTGCTTCCCGAGGATGGCTGGCTCCCCGCAGAAAATGTTCCTCCACACGACCAGTGGAACTCATGATTCTCGCAGAGACATGAATGGGACCCTTGAGTCTTATAGCTGACAAACTCACCAGCGAAGAAGGCGTAACCACCGCCCTGGCGGTAGTGTTGGGCTCCCTTCTCGACGTTGTACACCTGGAAAAATCATAAGCGGTGACAATGGACTCCGGAAACGGTGCCCAGGTCGATCCTCCGACTGGACACCGTGAGATACATCGAAGTCTTTTTCGATCTCCGTAATTTTCTGCGGACGCTCATTTGGTTTCTGCATCCAATGATCCAACTCCGTCTCGCTAACCTTGCCCAATAGAGCTAAATACAATCCTTTCGAAGAAGGTTTCCCGTCGTATCTGGCTAGCGTTGCAGCATCGAAGAAACCAGCGGGCAGTTTGCCAGCGGCGGGGAAGAGAAACGGAAGATATCCTGAAAAAGGAAGGCGTCGAATTAGGCTCTGGAATGAACGAAGACCCCCAACTCGATTCCATATAAGATCCCCTCTGAACCGTCGGTCGATTTCTCAGCGTCGAGGGACGAGCGCTGAACAGTTCACGCTTCTTTCTTCTTCTGCGTCAACAAGTGAGGGACTTCATAAAGATAGACAGAACCGCTTACGACAAGTGGAATCGAAGAGTCGAGTCGTCTGTAAAAAAATGATTGTTGCTTCGCGCTCTACCGTCGAGGTTAACAACCCGAATATTCCGAAGTTTCGACCAGACGACCGCCTACAAGATGTTCGTCGTCTATCGTTGGTCCGAAGCGAAACGAGCGCACACCTACTGAGCATGAAACTACAATCGCTCTTTTCCACAATCGAATAGATGCGAGACCGAACGAATGTGTTCGAGAATTGTCAATGCGGGGATCGCAGCTCAATCCGATGCTCCTCGACTTGATTTATATTCGAACCTCTCTTCTTTCTCTCCGATCGTCTCCGAAAAACATCGATATGACACAATCTCCATCGATTGATCACAGAAACCACCGGAATTTCCCATTCCCTCCGACTGGATGGAGTTAGAACACACGAAGACTACACGTCATTTCGGTATCCGAAGCTCAAATTTGATTTCCGTGCGCGCGGTTACGTTGTTGATTCGATTGTTTCAAACGAGCACCCTGATTGAGGGATGCTCATGATGATAGTAATTTTCCTTGACGCCGCTTGGACGAAGGGTGACGATTCCGTAAAATGTTTCCGAGAAGCCTTTCATGAAATGTCGTCGGCAGCGTAAGGACGCGTAGAATGAAGCAGCGAAGCTCCTAGCTAAGGGCGTCGTGCGCCTAGAAAAGCCTTGATGACCTTTATCAACAAATTTGCCATCACGATTCTACAAGGTCACCTTTAAGCTTCGAATTCTCTGACTGAAAAGTCTGGTGAACATTATTTGAACCCGAATATAATCATTACTGGAAGTAATAGCTCGAAATTATTTCCTCTCCCTGAGAGCCGATAGTTCGATTGCTCTGACCCGAGCGAGTGCCTATTCGTCATGAGGCTCATCACTGCGATCGATTCCCTGGGTGGCCGGGAGGGAGCACGGACGGTGAGAGAGCATATCGGAACCCTGAATCAGCCAGTGCCGAAAAATCCCGAAGCCTCAACCTCCTCGAATTCTCTGAGATACCGTTTCCGTAACGCGGAATATCTCTGTCGGGGCTCTCGGAGTCGTTCTGAGAAATTTTTCGCCTATGGAGACGTAGGAGATATCTCCCCGGCTCGCGCACAAGCATTCCCGTCGACCATTTCATCTTTTTTTTGCATTTAGATCCGGGATAAACGAACTCATTATATCTTGGAGTTTTGCATCAGCAGAACGGTTAGATTTTTCTTGATGCTTCATCGTTCGCTCAACAGATCTTGGTCAGAAGCCGAGAGAGTGACTTGTGGGCGTTTATAAAAAAATATACCCAAACGACCCGCGGTTAATCGTGTGACCCCGTTCTTGGTTCTGCAGAACTTCCCGAGAACAACTTCGCCGGTCTCCTCTGGGACTCTGCTCCTTGGCCACGCTCATCAACTCGACTCAACCAGAACGAGACTCAGATCGCACGCTCAGGAAAATTGGTGCCTTCAGTCCCAGCGGGATACCCAAGCTTTTCCTCCGGCTTATCGACCCTCCCCGAAGATCCAAAGATTTGTAGGGATTTGAGCTTAAACGATGGGTTCATGGACACCGGAAATAGGGAACAGGGAAGAAGTCGGGTCACTTACGTTGTATCGTCGCGTATAAGTTGTCACTGTAGCTTTCGAGGATGGCAGTTTCTTTCGGGAAGCGTTCCTGGATCTCGGGGTAGTAGTAATAGAGGGCCGCCGCGACTGAAGCCACGATTATGGCGTAGAACCACGTGTCGCACAGTTTACGACTCATCGCTAAAAAACAGAAGAAGCCTGAGGATTTGTTCATGAGGGTTGAGTGACGGCCAGCTCATTTCTGGTGGAGGCGAAGCCGACCCCTCTCCGGATATTTTCCTCGTCTGGGAAACCCAGAATTCGGAACAACTTCTAGTTCTCGCTGAGCCTTATCTTCTCCCCATGTAAAAGTCTGAACATTTGAGCTTGAGCCCACGCCGTGGGCATGGGAATACGCCTCGGGGAATAGAGGGAAAACGGAGCTGTACCGATCATGAGCACCTCTTTGGAATAAGACACGAGACGATGCTAGAGATGAACGCACGTCGGGTGCAGAGAGCTGCTCTCGTATTGATTGCGCACAGAATTTCAATCGAAAACTGATCTTGATTCGGCGAGGCAACCACGGGTGGCCCGTGGAGGGCCGGATCCGAGGGGGGATGCGAAAATAATCGATAAATAGAATGACACAGAAAATTCTGAGGCTCGCCAAGTACCGGACCGTTACTCCGAAACCGAAGGCGATCGCATTCCAAGTTCCGGAGACGGAGAGAAGCCGGGAAAACCCGAGCATTGACAAGGAATAATGCGCTTCCGAACGCATGGTGATTCCGCCACGGGTTGGAAAATTCAGCGAGGTGTCTACTGCCGCTCTGAATGAGCGACCGCGAGTTCGGCGGCGGGAGCCGGCACAGAAACCGAATTTTCTGAATATTTCCTATTTCCGTGATCAAGGAGGAACAGATTCTTTCAAGTTCGATGGAAACTATATTTTCGACGTTCTTCTCCCTCCACTCTGGTCCGTTACTTTGATTTGATTTATTGGATCCAGTTTTGGATCCCGCCAATTGGATCATCTAAGCGAATGGCGAGAATTTACATCCTATAGCCACAGATAAAAAGCCGATCTCAGCGGAAACTAGGAAGTAAGTGCCGGCAGGCCGGCCGTTGAATCGACTGCATGGAGTGTCTGAGACGTCGCGTCGGCAGACGTAACACGAGACGCGGTTCCCGTTTCGTCTTACATAGCGCTGCGAGTAACGGCGACGGCGTTCGGGAGCTTCCGTCATTCGAATTCGAAACAAACCTCAGCCGTAAGTGAGTCCTCCCGCTCTGGAACAGGTCCGACACTGAACTCGTGGAACTCGTGCAGAGCCGAGAACTAACAACACGACTGCAAAGGCGATCTCTAGGGCGCTTGGTCTTCAGCTCAGCTGCCGTCATCCACGTTGACGTTACGTTGACTTCGGTGCCAGCGGCCGCTCGTTTGGGAGAGAGCGGCGAGTCTCAAAAACATGGAAAGGGAACCCCGTTCGACTGAGCGATATACTGACTGGATGGACGTTCCGAGACGAGACTCGCAGATGTGCACCGTCGTCTCACGCCGTAGTCGACCGCGTTGACCGACGGATCGCCCCGAAAAATCGATTGCCACTCGCCTTGACCAGGGTCCAATGAATCGTCGACAGTCGGAAAGAGAAACTTCGCTGCTGTCCAATGCGTTTCGCTGCCTCCAACGGCACCGAATTTCTACCCGACCTGCGATCGTTGTACCTACCCACGGTCACGTTGGTTCGCTCTTCGATAACTAGTAGAGCGTCTCTGCGCAGAAATTTCCGTCCCGAAATCGAAGGATCAGAGGGAACTGATCGGACTGAGCGCATACAGGTTCCGAAAATTCGACTCTCACTCACCATTGTGCTGCGGCGTTGATCGATGTCTCCATAGAATTCTTATGGTGAACTCCATAAGTATCCGAATCGTATAACACGTCAGCAATATCGGGAGAGATCGTGTTCTCTCTTGAGACCACCTGTAGACGGAAGTCAACAGATTCAGCAGCCCCCTCATTTAAGTTGCGGAATGAAATTGAAGGTTGGGATAAAGCCGTAAACATGCGATACCTTCTCGCGAGGGCTCGAAGCAGCTGTTCGAAATGATCAAACTCGTGCTCAATTTCGACAGTGCGCGTGAGGAGATCGTCTCGCGTCAAACCTCGTACGCGTGTCGGACTGTGACATCGACGGATTCAGGTTCCTCCTCCTGCTCGTTCTTGGAAAATTGGAAAATTCAGAAGGCGATTGGAGAAAATAAGATGAATCGGGAACGTTCGGCAGTGATCGAGATGCGGTCTAAGGGAGAGATACAGAACCGGAACCCCGGCCAGGCACTTGGGAGAGAAGTGGAAATAATTTCGTTTCTCCATCTGCACGGAGCTCTGACGTGATGAGCCCGATCGAGAGGACTCGAAAGTCCACTATGGGCCTGAGCCGAGCCATTGTTCTAAATCTGCTCCGTAGGAATCGGATGCGAGTAGTCGCTCGGCGTTCTCCGAGTTCTTACATGCTCCGTGGAATTGAAAAGATTGGCGAACAATGAATAATCTCGATGATCAGCGCTCATTCCCCATCCAATCCTAGAAGACTCTAGAAATCAGACTGCGGCCGATGCACGACGTGGACCGTGCCGCGGAGCTGCGGCTCAGCCGGACGCTGTTTCCAATCCCTTCCGGACCCGAGCTCAGGTCGATCCTTCGAGAAAATGGAACCATGATGTCTTGAACGGTCGAATCAATAATAACGAAGAGAACTTAAAACTTTGCAGGCCGGCGGTCAGCAGGACGCTCGTCTCGAATAATGACGGCGAAAGTCTCGGAACAAAATTCTTGTGCAGCCCGTTCGAAAAGGTTCCCAATGTTATCAGCGATCTACGGACACCCATGTCCGCGCATTCCGAGATGATCGGCCGCTACCAGCATCGATGCTCTCCTAGTTATTTCTCATTAAGAAGCTCATGATTCGAGTTCTGATTGGAGTTGCCCATTACACGACCGGAGACTCCTTGATCACCGAGACAGCTCCCGAAGAGATACTCGGTCAGTGAGCTTATTGAGAAAATCCATCGTTGCCAACGGGCACCTTCCCCCGAGCGCAACATGGGTGATTTTTTTCTGCACCCCGGAAGTCAACGAGAGGTCTCTCGGAGGATGCGAGTGGGGATTAAGGTCGCCAGGTCCTGGAAATCCTCTCCGGGATTGGAATCCTCTGATTGTGAGCTCTATAGAAAACTCGTCAAGACGCGATAGTACTGGAAGAGAAATGCGATAGGCTCAATTCTGCATGGATCGACATCCCTGTGCAGGGCTTTCCCAGGTGGATCAATGCGTGCATGTGACATCGTGCGGAAAAGTGCATGCTTGCTCCAAACATCGAACGTTCTCTGAAAACAGAGTATTTCTCGATCATCGAGGCGCATGATGGAGCCTCCGAGACTCAGAATCCTTTGCTTACACGGTTACCGGCAAGATGCCGAATCCTTCAGGACGAAGTGCAGACCCATACAGAAGGCCACGAAGAATTTCGCCGACTTCATGTTTCTCACCGCTCCGACCCCCATAGGCGGTAAGGACCGAGAGCGCGGCTGGTGGATTTCAAGGCCCAATTTTCTCAAAGACATCCACGAGCCCGAAACCCAAGACGAGAATTTCGAACAAGCCCTCAGGTTGGTTTCTGACATCGTTGAAAGCGAAGGCCCCTTCGATGGAATTCTGGCGTTTTCGCAAGGCGCCTGCTTTGCCTCCTACATCCTCCGGCTCGGCGGCCGGATTTTCGGGGACTACGATGGCGTCAACTTCAAATTCGCGGTACTCTTCAGCGGGTACGAATCTCGTTTCACTCGACACCTCCGCGATACACAGATCACGATACCGACCCTGCACTACTATGGATTGACCGATAAAGTTATCCCGCCGGAAAAGTGTATAGATTTCGGAAAAATGTTCAGCAACATCGAAGTTCACGAGCACGACGGAGGGCACTTCCTGCCGACGACCGGTGACCCGAAGAAGATTATCGTGGAATATATAAAGAAGTTTGTCCCGGTGGTAGAATCCTCACCGAATTCGAGTGTCAGCAACGAAAGTTGCGGCTGAAAACCGCTGGAGTCGCCACCATTCCGCGTGGAAGAAAACATCAAGTGGGAAACGATATCCTGGAGGAGTTTCCCCTCCCGTTCGATCGTCGCTCCTCTCTGCTCTGATTCAGTTCATTGGAATTACCTTCAGACAGAATAAATTGAAATGGCAGAAATTTCTAACAAATCTCTGAGGTTTTATTGGGTCTCCCAAGCGTCTCGATTCTGCGGTAGATGACCAGTCCCAGAGAACGCATCGGATGCCACCGGGAAGTTCCTCTCGCCAGCCGGTTGATTTAGTATACAGTATTCGTGGATCACAGACTTCTAGACAATCGACAATCATCTCTAGGCGTAGAGCGGTCTGCAAGGTATCTGGCGTCTCCTCTCATCACCATTCGGGGAGCATCCCAAAACACAACGCTGTACAAGAATTCACAATCACTGGATCTATTCTCCAGCGGCCAGTTCATTTCACTGAAGAAGGCGATTCGGGGGCAGTAAGCTACGTTTCCGCACCACAGGCTCGGGCATTCATTCTCTCTCCATCCAACCTCTCTAGGAATCAGGAGTTTAACTTCAAGGCGTTCAGGTGCCTGGGAAGCATTTGAGCGGCACCGATTCGGCAATAGGAGTCCTAGAACCGGATCAGTGATTCCCGGAAGTCCGACGCGCGAACCCGATTTCCTTAGCCCTCGGCTCCTCTGAACTCCGGTGACGTCATTGTGCATTGGTTTTCCTTCGATACGTCATTCCAGAGTTTTTCAAATCTGTCGCTGTGCTGAGATTTTAGGAAACCGAGCTAGGTCTAAATGACATCCCTCCATTGATTGTACTCAGAAAAGCGATTTCCTACAATCTCGTTTGACGCTCCACCATTCTTCAAGGTGATCGAGCACCTGAGGCTGGCGTGGTTTCTGGATCGCTTCGCACATTCTACATAGATGCAGCGATGGACTCCCGAAATAGCCATGTTCATTCAGGACTTGGTAGTGTCTTCGCCAATCGTGGTAAGCCAGCAATTTGTCTGGATGGCTCAGGATATCACTGGAAGCAAAATAAAAATTCATTGCTCGGGAGTTTTCCGCCATTCCGCGAGGGGAACTAACTCCATTGCTCACTGGATAGGCTCTGAATGGGCTCCGCAGAAAATCGTGATTCCATGTTGCAGAAAGCTACATTCGTCTTCGCTTTTTTTTCGAGCGGTTCGAAAGGAATATATCCCGATGTTTCAATGAAATGCTTCAGAGCGAGAAACGTGAGCGAGTTTTACCTCAAGTAATCGGCGAGGGTCTGAGGCGAATCGAAATCTTCGACGTGGATGAAACTGTTTGGCGGACAGAGCCGCTCGTAATTCTCGCGGGTGCCCCCCATGACGACGGGTATGGCGTACTTGGAGTAGGCGTTGTACCAGAGCTTTTCCGTGATGTATTCGTCACAGTTTGAGTTCTCGAAAGCTAAGTAAATGCGGTAATCTGCCAGAGAGATATTCGACACATCAGTTAGGGCTCGCTTCCGGACGCCTTCGGTAAATCTTTCACCATATAAAATATATAAGACGAGAAGAATGAACGAACCTCTGATGACATCGCAGTCTCGAGTAAAATGGCCCGGACAGGCAGGTTTCCCGCAGCCGCCGTAAATGTTCACCTGCAAAGTTCAGAGTTAATTTCGCACAGGCACCTTCGAGAATTCTCCGAGGCAGGTATCACATGATGCCCGCGATAGCTCTCTTTTCGAGGCAGCGAATATGAGACTGTCGGGTGATTCTGGAGTGAAACTTTTTTTTGCTTGATACTCACATCGATATATTTCTGGAGCTCTCTCACGTACTCCCATCTACGATTCTTCGAGCCACAGTTCGAGCCGAGTATGGTGACGTTCCGGGTCTTCCGCAGCACAATCGAAGCGTAATCCTCCTCGCTCGGAGTCTCGAGAACTACAGTTCTGCCTGAATAGGAAAGCGAGAGATTCTATATCATCGTCGAAGCGATTCCTAATTCTGAAGCCTAACATATTGGATGTAATTCCCGCTGTGAGGATAACCCGGTGTGGACGAATGCACGTGCCGGCCAAAAAATTGGAGCCTTCTCTGAAGAGAATCATGCGGGTAGGGTCAATAGATTGTCGCGTGTCTTTGATTCAGCGGGTCAGTCGGGACGCGATGCGCAACACGGAATATTCGGAATTGAATGAAGAAGCTCTTGGCCTCCCGTCCTCTAACCGTGACCGATCTGCCGTGAAAATCTCGGTGGTGGGTCTCTTCCTCCCGAGTCGAATTTCGGAAACGGTTTAACAGTCGAAGCCGCGTCGCTAAGCAGCCCGGGTAGTCTGTGAGATTTGACGGCTGATTTTCGGCTTGCGAAACATTTGTTCGTCCGGATTTGGGCTCCTTCTCTTTGTCCAACGAGCCGAGACGAGCTTCCCGTCGACATGCGAACGACGCTCGATCAGTCACTTTCCCGAGCGAACAGCTCTGATCTGAGTTTTTCGTGAGTTCGCGTTGCTCGTGATTCTCAAACGGAACTGATGTGATGTGATACGACGTTCTAGATATCTCACTCGGAAATTTCTACAGCCGGAGCAGAATAGGTTCAAAAGGGAGATCTCTGTATTTCGGTGACGACCATTAGTTTCCGTGAAGATAACAGGAAAACCTCCGCGGAAGTCTCGCAGAATGGTTGGGCTGCGGACGCATTGCGACATGTGACATCATTCAGTCTGAACGAGGTGGTCGAATGTTGATCTAAGCGCTAACTTTCGGACGTAATCTTTCTCCTCCTCCCCCCCGAAATTCTAGCGAATATTCAATCTTCAACGGTGGTTCAGCCATCAGTGGGAACGTGGAACGGAATGACGACGTCGGACGAAGTCAAGGACTAAGTATGTTAATGACTCTATCACAGAGTCGGAAGACGTCGGACGAGTTCGCCAGCTCCGTGATCAATTATTGTAGATTTCAACCTCGAGCTCAACCTTCAGAATCCTCGCGCGATTGCATGAATTCCAAGCGGGGAAAATCAATTCCCTGTTTTCGTCTCCAGTCATGTTTAGAAAACTCACCGTAGGGTACGGGAATGTCGGAATCCGATCGGTAGGTCATGCTCAAGTTGAAGAGTCCATTGAGGTCTTTCATTTTTAAGGCCCGATTCGCCATGAAAGTGTGATAAGGAGCTTCGTCCGTGAAGAAAATCCACAGCTGTTCGGGATTCGGTCGTTTTGGCAAGTTTGCTTTGAGATCTGAAGCGAATACAGGAAAGGTATCGTTAAGATTTTCGACACACTTGTGATGCAGTAATGAAGCCACGGACCTAGCCCCTTGCACACAATTGAAACTCGGTCCGCGGTTCTTCCGAAATAGGATCTTTATCAAGTCACGTTCAGACTTTGAACAGTCCTTTGATCGCTATCGTAGTTTACCTTCGAGTAAGTGTAAATGAAACATGACAGCGTCGCTCCGCTCGACCTCACTGTCATTGGTGACTAGACGGCAATTGCTGACAGAGCAGAACCGAAACGGATCCAGTTCCTTTGATCCGAAGGATCTGAGGAACCTTCTTTTCATCCGAGCGCCGACTTTCCAAACCGAGATACTGAAGAGATGGTAGATGCACATTCAATTAAGAACTTTCTCAACTCTCAACTCGAGCGCGAGACCTCTAGCCGGGTCGTGCTCACGTGGACAATAAAGTCTGAATCGAGCACTCTTCGTACTCACCTGTAGGTACGTGTCAGGTTGCTGTCCGTGTCCGCGGCCGCCAGATTGTCCGCAGTGGAACGAGTCTTGACGATCGTCGTGGTAGCGAGAACAATGTATATCCAAAAGACGGCGAACAACAGAAAAGACGCCTTCGAATTCGACGGCCATCTCATCTGGAAATGAATAGGATTTCCTTGTGGACAACAGCTTCCGTGAAAACTCTGCGGGTGAATTCTCAAGTTGGCTCTCTTTGAAAGAGAGTGAGATTCTTCCAACATCGAACACTACAGCTCTGAGACGGACGGGATCCGGAGACTCATTATGAGAACAATCAGTTCAATAACTGACGATGAGGGAAGACGACGGAAAACTGGGGTGATCGAAGCCTGGCATAATGCACAGAGCAACTGCTTGAAGCAAGAGATAGGCTGCATAAGTTTCCGACCCGTGTCGGATTCTCCCCAATAACTGTTGGTCTCTAATGATAGGAGTTTAGGCGGGCACAGGACACAGGACTCGGTACTTCGATCTCGATATATCGTAACCCACTGCTGAGCTATATGCTGGGGACGACAATCACTGCTGTCGTGACGGACGCGTTATTCTTCGATCCATGACACGTTTCGACGGATGAAGTCGTGTCTAGCCGAGGGATGAGAGTTCAGTCCATCGAGCTGATCTGCCGCGGTCAAAGCTCGATCAAAGTGATGGAGCATCCAAGTTCAGCGTCTGATTGACGAGAGGTCTCCAAACTCTTAGTGCTTCCTACCCCCTGCCTGCTCGACAGTCCGGCGATCCAACAAGAACCGATTGGACTCGTGTGCAATCGATTGAATGCTCGATATGGGTTTCGGACCCAAATTTCGCATGGACATCTATCCCGAAGCCCAAGACCTGATGTAACACACGCCTGATGGGAGCGTGTCCCCGCAGTGAAGAACGAAGCATGGAAGAGAATCGGTGTGACGAGACTTCAACGAAAAAATTGCGGAGAACTCTCTTGGTCAAGACCGAACTGGCTGTTCGAACGGTTGGTCGCTGCCGAAAGAACGCGAGCAAACCGTCTGACGCTCGGGCACCCGAACGACTGAATGCGAGTTGCAGCCTGGTTGGTTGTCATTTCTGGAATGATCGTCTTGGATTTTTCGAATTACACCTCGACCCGGAGCGATCTTTTTCGCCGCTGTCAATCTTTCTGCTGCGTCCAACCTTCTCTCGCTCTCTCATTTTGCTTATCTGTGTGAGTAGCATTCGTCCGATCAGCTGACGCAGAACTGGATGTTCTCTGACAAGTCTACTTTCTGGTTCCCGATGATGAGTCACCGCCGCATCTGCATTGACCGACTTGATGAATGAAGGAAAGGTAATCGGATTCGAAGATTTGCCTTGTATGGAGTGGAGGGACTCTGAAAACCATTGGTGTATCTCGCTGCTCCGGACGGAATCGCCATCGGCACTGCGAGGAGCCGCAGAAAACTGAATCGAACTGAACGAACGAACGACCGCCCTGAATCGATGGCGATCGATTCACGAAGCGATTTTTTCCCAGATTCCATCCGGCATGGTCATCCTCCGCCACACTAGCGGGGACCTTGACCCCCACTCATGCCTTTGTGAGGAGAGATCCTCGAAGTCGAGCGTTGAAAAGGCAAGAAATTACCGCGCCGCAAGGCTTTCGTGACCGATCGAAAGCGGGATGGTTCACTGAAGTTCGTTCCGCACTCTCAACAGAGCGCTGAAAAGCGCATTTTTCGGCTATTTTCCGGCCGGACTTGAGGAAGATGTCCGGAGTCGACTGCAGTAGGGCAAAAGTATCAGTTATGGAACACCTAAGGGAAATTCCCATAGACCCCCATATCATTTGGGGAGAGGTACCACTTGTGGAACACTCCATGGAAGTCTATGGGGAGCTCCGTGACCCGGTCACGGAGCCCCGTCCTAAAAGTATTGCCCCATACCTGGTATTTTCCCCTACTTCAAGTGTCAAAGTATGCCGATTCACGGTAAAGTCGCCGACTTCGAAATAAGAGACGGAGCTATAGCAACGCGAGACACTCGTTATAGCGAAAAACGGATCGGAACCGAGAGGATCAGAATTCCCTCACCAAAAGGCGGATTCCGCTCGAAAGTCCCCGCGTCGTATGAGGAGCAGCATCCTGACAGACCGATTTCTGATAAATTCATACAGATTCTCTGTCACTTATCATCATTTCTCGCTTCGTCGAGACAAGTACGGATTGGTCAGCGCAATCGCGTTGACATGCATCGTCGCCAATCATTTCTAGACGATTTGCTCCCGTTTCGGAAGCAGACAGCGACATCATTTACTCAGCGTCGGGTTGAGCTGTCGTCGACATCCGTATCGGCGGACTCGAGAGGCGTCCTGAAGAAGCAAGAATCGAATTGATGACCTGGATTGAGCATGTATTCGCTCTCTCCTCGCGGAGCTTCTCGCACAAGCTCAGGAACCAAATGAGAGCCACTCTGAGAATTTTCACGCTTGGTAGCTGGGTTTCGCGCTTCGCCGCCGAACAATAGGCGGAAAATGTTGAATGAGTCTTCGAAGGTTTCGACACAAAGACACAGCTCCGCAGAAGAAAACTTTTTGGCACCCGAAGGTAATATCTCCCCGACCATTGCCAACAGAGGGAAGAATTGCATATTGGAAAGGAACGTCTCCAGATTCTCGTGACCCTCTGCATTATCGCAGCGTCCCTTTGGGGCGCCGAGGATCGATCGATTCAAGGATCGCGCAGAAATTGAGAGGTCTCGCTCGTTTCGGATTCAATCTTTCCCGATAGAATCGTTCTCCAGGTCCCGGATTCCTACTGCAATCGCCGCTAGAACTGGATCCGAGCTCATTCTTGACTTCGATATTCACGTTTCCCAGGCATGACGAACTATCAGATGACGAATACCCGAGAAGTCGGAATTCCCGTGAGGAGCGATGTGAGCGGTATCGATCGTTGAGTTTGCCCCATGGGACGAGCCCTCACCGGACGTTCGACTTTAATGGGAATACTCGGTGCACGGGAGCCTTCTCGACCTCGACTCACGGAAATTCTTGATGACATTCATCCGCGGTTCGACCAAGCGATCTTCCCACCCTCTCTGCGATCGGAAGCCCCCTGGGAGATTGTCAGTTTTCGGAGCGGTGGTGAACAGCCCACAGAAAGACTGAAGCTCCCACTCAGACAGCAAAGCAGAATCATCCGCAAGGTCAAACAGAATCTGCTCGTCAATTGGGAGCTCGACGCGACTCATTCTCCGTAGACTGACGACGAAAGGCCCTTTGGGGATAAATTCGATTTTGCCCCCCGCCCCCTCCGACGCCAAGAGTTCGCAGAGTGCCGCGTGTCAGAGCATCGGGGATACGCGTCGGAGGCTCCAGGCGAGAGAAAGACGCAGGGTTTTTGGGTTTGGATATCATTCATGCACAAAATACTAGGCCCTTGGGAAGTTACCCACCATGATTGGCCCTGCCTCCGGCCTCATTAAAGACATAAATGAACGACATGATGATATTCGATACCTCGTGGGAATGAATATTCTCGATCGAACAATACGGTTCCGATGTCGGAAATGCCTAGACTATCATCCGCTGATCCCATTCCGCCAAATGAGGGAGTCCGACCCTGGCGATTGCTTGGTTATGTGGATATCATTGGAAACAACTCATCACGACAGATAGCCAACATTAATTCAATATTGCTAGCGGTAAACAGTCAGGAGTATTTGCTCTGGAATATCGAAATGTAGCATCCAGTCCCTCAGATTGAAGTTCGAGTTTCATGCTCCGTCGACTACCGATTCAGCCAGTTTGAACTCCTCGGCAGACCAAAATGGAGCGACCGGCTAGACTAGAGACCGAATCCATTCGAGATTTCCTCGCAGGCTCAGCCCTGTTTGCCACTAGGAGGAAGTCGTCGGCCAAGCCTTGCTCACACTCGGCCGAGTCGCCTGGAAAACCATTTATCCCTAATGTTCCAATTCAGTTCCGGATGGACGACCATTAGCGGAATGAAACGTTCCGATTCGGAAGCGGTTCAGAGCGCACATTAATCGATGGTGAAACTTTGAATTAATCGAATTTCTTCCGAGGCATCCGATGCACTGAACGTCGTACGCTCCCTTTTCCTCCTTAATACCCCACTGGGTGTCTGGGGATTATTCAGTAAGAGGAGAATTAGTCGGATGAAAGGAAGGAAAACGAAAAGGCTGAGTGCGAGGGGCGTCGCCATAGACGGGAAGTCTGTGCGATTCCAGCGGATAAAATCCACCAATTGAATCGTGGAAAAAGCGAGCGGAAATGCAGTCGCCGATAGAAAAAAACGTTAGTCTACGGAAAGTCGCAGCGAACATCGCCGTGTTTCAGTTTCTATAGTAGCAGTAACGAACGCAACTCTCATATCTGGATCGTTGGGAGCGGAAACGTGGAGTTTCGCGACAAGGCGATCGGAAACGATTTTTTTTCCTCCGAAAACGCGAGCACCCAAATCGAATCTGTGATCCATTTCGCATTGCGCTTCGACTGAGGAGCCATGATCTTGATATACACGGTTCCGAAAGCCGACTTTCGTGCCTTCGAAGGGAGATGTAATCCTCGGCTCCCCCCGCATTGTCAGATTTCGGGCGCCTCGCGCTCATGGTGTGCATTTCAACCCTGGATGCAGTTCCCTTCGACTTCTGTGGTCGTCGATCGCGCAACGATCGCTCGGTCTTATAGGCGTGAAAGTCTCCTTTAGATTTCGCGCGTTGGAGCCGTCTGGACTCCCGAATATCATTAACAGTTGCTTCTGAAAGACTGAGCGCAGCATTTGTCGTTCGATTTTGCCTGATCTGAGCGAGCCGCCGGGATAGTCCCCGGTGCGTCGACTCGTATATGAGCGACACTCTCATTCTCGGATTCTGAAGCAAACTCCGTATCCGATCTTTCCACTCCACACGTGGAAAATCAAGCGTTCTGTGACAAGAGGAAGAAATAAAGTCTTTCGAAAGACTTGCATTCGAAAGCTCTGCATGATATCACGGGACCCTTCTCAGATGTGACTCCAGAAGAGCTCTCACCTTCAAGTTCTTCCACATGATGAGTCCCGTGAGCAGTTTCATGACACGCTCACATCACGTACCGCATATAGCGTAAGTATCCATATCGTGAGCTTTCTCGAGAATCCCATTCAACGGGCGTCTGAATGTGCTAAACAACGCTCGATGGCGTTAGGTATCCACACAACACTTGCTTACTTCGGCTCCCGCGCTGCTCAAAGGTGCAGCCGTCGTAGCTGTTTCATCATAAAGTTTCTCTCTCCGAATATCTCGCCTTTTGGGAAAGAGGCATTCTGGCTTGCTGGAGAGGCGCCAAGGACGTCGGAAATCGGAAAACTTCGTCCGCGTTCGCTCGAGGAATTTTCCTAGTTAAATTCTCGCGTTTGGCTGACCAGACACTCTGTTGGATACGGACTGTTCACGATGACCAAACGAAGAAGAGTCTGACCGATGCTACGGACCTCGAAGGATCTTCGGAGAACCAATAGAGAGACATCAAACTCCGATGAGAGGAAAAGGGGCGAAGAACCCTCATCCCGGACAGATCGATCGGATAATTGTATATACATGTATACCAAACACATTTCGAGTGCGCTCGACTTAAAACCCGAAATAGAGGGCATTGAGGGGAGGATAATGAATCCTCACACTTTTTCTGGCGCATGTCCCAACTGGACAGTCGGACAAAGGGCATTTCGAACTCATACGGGATGTGCAGAGCAATGCCTTTCCAAGGGGGAAGAGAAATGCCGCTCTTCATCCGCATTCGGAAGCGGCCCTGATCGAGATGGGGGAGATCATCATCACGGTGCTCACTCCAGCTCAGGAATCAGGAACCCGGATGAGTTAGGAAGTTACTCTGTTCATTTCACGGTCGGGTCGCCAAATGAGCGAGACAATTCCGAAAATTCTCCAGAAAAAAACGGACGAGGCAAACGCGACGTTTTCGGAAACTTTTTGTCAAAGCGATCTTTCAACTCCGTAGAGAACATTCTCGTTCCCAGGTGGGGCCTGCTTCCGCGATAGAGGTCCCGGAAAACCACCATATGCCTATCGCCAGAGAGCAGAGAGAAGTTTTACAATATCCTCCTCGGATACAGGTATGTCGAGGGAAACACTTGTTATCATGAACATTGTCTACCCGGTGATCTCATGCCTTCACCCATACATGTGATGGTTGATGATGTTCGGATCTGTTCGATCAGCGCTGAGAGCGAGTGTCTCGATTGCCGCGGTATGACCTATAAACGTCGAACTTTCCACCTGATCGGATGGATCGCACTCTCAGCTGGGGGAACTGATTGTTTGGCGGGAACTTGAGGAACTTGACGATATCTAGGACCGAGGCAATATGTCTCGCAGTGCACAAGTCACGAATCCGCATCATGGAAAATAGAGCGCCCTCCACGAATTGGGCTTCACCATGACGGGGATATTGATTTCCGGACATATTTCGGAATCACGTGAAATCGCCCGATGTCGGTTTCGTCATCGGAGCTTTCATCCCGCTGCCTTGTTCGAGAGGATCCAACCGCTATGCGCCTCTGCTGTCACTGAACAAGAGCTCAGCGATGTCTCCTGGGTATTTGGGCCATGATCTAAGGAGAGCTAGCAGACTGGTCCGCAGCCCAACTGAAGCGGACGCGACGCTTTGATTAATCGGGTCATTCCTCGACGGAAAACCCGCCAACAAACTCGGAGGAGAGAAATATCAGTGGATCAGGATACAAGAATTCCTGTCACATAGATTCCCTCGTCCGCCTGAAGGGAAGACGGAGGTCACAAGAGATGTATCCGCAGCTCTCGCCCTCAAGCCAGCGGAGCGCGAAGACGGTGGCTCGGGAGGGGCACTTGGGTCACGACCTCTGATTTTTGCGGATTTTGAGAACGGGCAGATCGGAATCCGAAGCCCTGTGAGATCATGAAAAACTGCTGACTTCCAAACTCTGTAGGCGAGCCTCTTGTAAGAATGAATATGCGCCGAACTACTGTCTGTTCCTCCCCCAGTCTCAATGATCGCACACCAAGGTACACAATTAGGCAGCGGAAATGGCAGGATCCTCAGTTGAGTCGACTGCCGCTCTCCTCGCCGCCCACCTTGATTTTTCTCGTCATTGATGAGCGTGGATGTAGGAGACTCTCCCAGCATAAAACGTGCATGCCTCACATTGCTACTTCGAAAGATGGTATCTAGATCAGACGGGATCTCTGCAAGCATCGCCTCCGAATTCTATCTGTTCCGAAACTCTCAAATACAGCGCTATCTCGTATCCACCGTCCTCCGGAATGCCACAGCATGAGGCATATCTGAGCCGGGACATGAATACTGGCCTCACATGCAGATGAGTGCATTCGAATGAAGCCTTCGAATGAAGAGTGTCCTTTTCCGTTGGCTGATGGAACCGGAAACAGCCGCGGAGTGCGAGAGCTCCGACATGACCTGCGTGGCTGATCGACGTGAAGATTTCGAGTCCGTCTGATGTCTAATCAATTGTTCTGATCGGAATCATGCAGTATGCTTTTTCTTCGCGGCTTGGCGAGAGGGCGCGACAGCGCCCCCGTAGGCACCTCCGAAACTTATCAGAATCTCGAGAGCTTCTCCGACCTACCTCCGATGGAGAACACGACGAGAGCGGAGGAACATCGCTTTCATCACATGTTTTTTGATCCGATCGTCCCTGTATAGCATAGCCCTTTCTGCGCGCTAAAAAAGATACAGGTAGCGTGATCCTACAGCTCGCCTCCGATCTTTACCGATGCAATCCGAGAATGGGATCGGGGATTTTCCTTGGTGACTTCCGTTAGTTGCACAGGGGGAATTCGGAGACACGCGAAATATCCGCATGGGGAAGCACCTGACTGCGCAAACCACGGGAACTTTTTTAAGGAAATCGACAGGCACCTGGCATGTGGGATCCCGAACAGGCTTCCCGACAACCTTTCATCAACAGTCACGAAATTCACGACTCTGCTCTGCGGAGTACTGCGGCTTCTCGACCGGCAAACTTGTTTCTCTCGCGAGGACCGGTCACGGTTCGAGACTTCCTACACGGTCTTGAATTCCATCCTTTACACCTCGATAGGCAATGGAGAGACCGCCAGCGGATCTCCTGCTAAGGATAGGGCACGGATCATTCATGGTAGGAGACTGTGACAGATTCCCGTAGTTCTGCCGAGAATCAGATACCCTAAGCCAGGGCTGGCCGACGTCCCTGGCCCCGTGGACCACTGAGGCCAGAGCGTCGGAGCCTGCGAATCACCAAGCCATGGTTCACTCGTGTTTTGATCGGGAAGTGAGTAGGAGCTCATCGAGAAGGCCGCCTCGTATCCACTAACCTTATACAGCACGTGCGGCCGTCTAATCGTTAAGCACTAGGAAGCTATTGGCAGTGATATCCATTCGCTGCGAAAGTCATGGGCCGCGAAAGGATATCACTGACTCCTCTTATGAAAACCGCTTCGGGTGCTCCGCGGACTTCCGAAATTTCGGCTGAGGACCACCACCTTCCGGCTAAGGATCTCCTGCAGAGAACTTGCCTTGATCCCTTGCCTTACAGCAACTCCGCATCCCGAGCCACAGGATGGCCGTGGTCGGCTGTGAAGATCTATGATTGAAAACTGTCAAACCCCAGTATATGTGTCGGAGGAAAAGTGGACTGCCCCGATTATCATGCGAGAATCGATGAGAAAATTCAGAGGGGTAAAGGCAAGCTTGTACCGCACCCCACCGTGGAAACGTCCGTCGTTTCGTACCTCTCGCTGGTGACGAGAAAATCACGCCGGGGGACCATCATTTCTGCCTTGGTTCCGAGGATCCTTGACCGTCTTGGGTATCTTTTAGTTTCGTAGGGGGACTCTCGTTGCCCTTCTCACCCCCTCACGATTGAAATCGCTCTTCCACCGGAATCTGAGTATCCTTGGGGGTCCTCCATCATTCATTCCATCATTTCGCTCGGTCCCCTTATCCGAGCAAGAATCGTTGCCGAAGCACATAATTCCACTTCGCTCCCTATCTTCATCGCCTCGCTCGCATCTACTCGGACCTGTAGCGACTCGACATATGTGTCTCCATGTTTCTCGGTTGCTCCCCATCAGACGGCGTACGTTCAGGACCGGAATGGAATCTCTTGAAGGGTTCGGTAAATGACTCCCGCTCAAGAGTTGGCAAAGCAATTCGATCGAGGAATTCCCGATTGCGCACGAGCAATGCGCTACACATGTGATCCATGTCTGGTGCTGGTCGAGCCCGCTACTCCTCTGTCAGATTCCGAAAGAGTCGAATGAGTTTTTATGCTTTAGAGCGGCGCCGACGACGACTACCACAACCACAACAGCGCCAGCGACAACTACAACTCAATCACTCGTAAAACATGCGGTCGGATCCGGAACGTGTTCTCCGCCCAGCTTTGTTGTAGAGGACACCTTCATTGTCGTCGGAAACATGGCTAACATATGTCAAGCTTTGAGAGTTTCACTGATTGTGTGCAAGCCGCTTGCTGTCGAAGCCATACATTCGGATACATACAGGGATTGCTGTAAGAACGATCGACTTTTTCACCGCAGCAAACACGCGGGCCCGAGCGGGACATCGGCATCGATGAGGCGACAGATTGCAGAGGATTCGCCGGACTCAACCCTTCGCTGAAGCGGTGATTCTCTAGGATTCTTTTCGAAGAGGGAAACGGGTGAAACAGAGTCGGCCCTGGGAATGTCTAGCCTCCTGGTGAATGACATCGATCCCATTCGCAATTAATCCAGAGTCGCTTTTCCATAAACCACGTGCGACAAAAATGAACGATCCAGGAAGACGCTCGTGCATGTTGGTCTCGGCTGCTTCTTGCCGGACCACCGCGATCGGTTGCTCTCGGGTGAGATCTCAGAGAGGTTCCTCTGTTTCGCCCACGACGTTCAGCTCCGATGTCGAACGTGGGTCGATTTCTTCTCGCCCGAGCTCAAGGTTTCCAGGAACAGGATGGAGTCCTGGACGTCATGAAGTCAAACGGCGTCTTCATTGTGTGGTCGCAAGGGGTGTCTTCTGCTGAAGGCCTTTTTGCGCAGAGCATTCGGTCTCTGGTTTCCGTCAATGTTTTTCTCTGGTGCTTTCTACAGAGGAGGGCGAACAAAAGCGACGTCGAGCAGATCGGACGACTTCAAAAGCCTCGAGTACAAGGCAACCGCTTCGGACTGTGGCTTGCTCAAAGGCGCCGGTCCTTTGAA